TGAATCAATGAAAGCAGTTAAATCTTCTGTTTATTCAGCAACCGCTATAGGGATTTCTTGGAAATTCCTTCCTGCCTTCTTCGGGGCATATTTGGAGTTTGAGAGTGAGAGCGCCCTCTGGCCTTCGGATGGAGATTTACTACTGATCACAGAACTGGGGCCCGTTCTTCATACGTTGCTTATTACATCCGAGATGAAATGTCACATCCAAGATGATATCATCGCGCTAATCAGGATCTGGCTAATTCGGTTCTTCGAACGCACCTGTTGTTGATGATTAGTATGGCTGGATTGAGTTATCTGAGATAATTGCGCGTTCATGGGTTGGTTTAAAAGGGACTATGTATCGATACTCGAAACCACGATCAGCAATGCAGCGATTGGCTGGCGTCATATTATTAAAAAAGACACCTGACGAAAAACTTGACAAATTTCTGGAATTTTAATCCAAGCGAACAAAACTACATAAATGTTATAATAGATAAATGAAATGTGTTTTTATTTTATTAAATTTTTTTACATGATTCCCAATTATTTATATTCACGATTTCTAATTTTTGGAGAGGCTTAGCCTACATTTTTATTTCAATGTAGCAATTAGCAATTCATTTAATTTTATATTTGAACAGATTTGTTACGTTACAGCATTATTTAAAGTTTCTTAAGTGTCAAGATCATGTTATCTGCATCCATGGGCGTTGCTAGGCCATTTTTAGGAGGGCTATAGCCCACCTAAAATGAATACTCAGCCCCCCTAAAAATTTTGCGATTAGCTCCATAAACTGTACACGAATTCGTGATCGCCTCAGTCCCCTTTAAATTTCATCTGAAAACGGCAGCAGACTTCGATCTGTCTTTCAGCGCGTTCTTTTTCAATCCGCAGACCGCGGCCGTGCAGAGCAAAAAACAGAGGACAAGGTGTTTGTTTATCGATAGATTGTTATAATATCTACATCTGCGCAGTTCTTTGACATAAATACGGTTTAAAAAATATCATGGGGGAGCAATCGGTTCCACATCTATACTGTAAAGTTTTCACTGCGCTCACCCCTCATCACACCACAGCTGTTTCCTCCAGTGAAAATGAAGCACATATGAACGCATATTTTATAAAACTATCATGTTGCAATTTTCATTTGAAAATGTAACTTACAATGTAATACATATTCCAGTGCATGTGGCAAAGAGGTTTGCATACTTGAGCTAAGGAAAGAGGGTTGTACTAGAAATGCAAACAGTAAAATTTTGTGTGTACAGTAAACAGGTGTGTGTGAGATCATGAAGATTTGTATTTGGCTTATTCAGTTATATGTTATACCTATCTATGCAATACAGTGGGATACAACACTTTTTGGTATATAAGTTTAGTATACCACCCCTATTAGTCAAACATTT